GTTATTGTATGGGTATATGAATAACCGTGACCTTCGGCCACGGTTATTCACTACATACCCATACAATAACAATCATGAATTGCCTAAATAATTTAGTTGACCCGGTTAATCCGGTTAATATTAAAAGTATATACTGTAAGAACGTGAAAAGATACACGATGCTAACGACTCAATCGACTCTAGCAATTAAAAATAATAAAAATAATAAATATACAAGTCGGGTCAAGCCGTTAGTAGACCACCTTAACAATAAAATGCCGTTTATTAATTAGGTTCTCCACTATTTTACAAGAACTATTGTATATTTATTTATTTTTTTTTGAATATATATTTAAATTTTTGCTTGTTCGAATTTTTTTAGGATGATGAATTGATAATTATTGATCGAAGTAAAAAATGAGACTAAAACTAAAGTCAATTAATATTTTTGATTAATAAATGATTTCATAGTCACCTGATTAGGTTAATGCAAAATTAAGTTGCAGTATAATAAGAGATTTCGATTAAACAATAAATAATCTATTTCAGGTGCTACATATATTCAAAGTTATTTAAAAAAGGTTTGTTATTTTTCTAATCAGTTCCGAATGTTTTTATTCGTATAATCAAACATTTATCATTAAACTATATGAATAAATTTTCATTTTATAAAACGCGAATTATCAAATATAATCGTCCTTTATAAATTATAGCGATTTTTTTTTTTAATAAATATACTGCTGATAATTTTTCAAAAAATGGTGCTTATAAAAAGGGTGTGATTATATGGGAGGTGACTGTAGAGGACGACTGCATACTCTTTTATCTAACATTCGTAATTCCACATTTAATTATATACAAAATATGCTAAGTTTGAAACACACTAATGGTAAAGATTCGCGAAATTAAATATCTTATTTTGAATAAATTACTAATGAACGTCCTTTTATATCTATTCTGTACTATCTTAAAGTGTACTAACTACTAATAATACAGTAATAAATGAGTGATGCCAAGGGAAAAGTGATTTCATTCATAGAGAATTTATATTATTGAAGTCCCTTTTCTCTTTGCGTCACTCAAATGATATCTGATATATGTACTTATTCGAACTAGATTAATGTGAAATAAGATGTAACATAATACAGTAAAACCTCCATAAGTGCACCCTCTATAAGTGCACTAGAGTACCTGCCATAACATTCATTGGTATGCCAAAATCTCAAATAGATATTAGGCATGCCACTTATATAGATTGCTTTATATCAAGAAAATCTTAGGTTAAAATCATTTCTGATTCTAAAATTCTTGATCAGGATCCAATAAAATTAAAGGATCTTGTATATATATAAAAAATATAGGAAAAAAAAAAATACAAATAATAAAAATTTACTATGACGATTAATTTTTGACCTTAAAGTAAGATTTTTGGCATATAATTTTAGTTATAAGACAGTTTTTAACACTAAATATACAAAATTCTCTTACTTATATTATATAAATATAAATTAATGGCATGCTAGGGGTGGCACCTTGGCATGGATTTAAATAGTTGGTATGCCATATGGCACATTAAATTTTTGGGGAATTTACAAATAAGGGCTCAGAAAGTGAAAATAATTACAAATACGGGTCCAAATTAAAAATAATTATATACAAGGGCCTAATTTTTAAAAAATATTACATATAAGTGCCCAAAATAACTGTGACGCGCTTTACGCCTGTGGCTTGATCGTTATTAGTATAAAAAACGTAAACATTGCATAAAAAATGTAAGGATCGATTGTAAATTAGTAATTATAAATGAGAAAAGAATATTTTTTAAATTTAATAAACTTAATTTCTTTGTATGAAATTGCTTATTGTTATTACGAACCACTATGATGTCAAGTAAAACATTGCGAATTGGCATGTCATTTGCTAATATAGAAGATGTTCGTTCAGCTTTAGAGAGTTACTTTGTTGAACCTCGTCTTATGAATAATTGTGCTAGTTTAACGCTAATATTTAAGCGAAAACGATTATAACTAGCATTTCATTTATTCTTGATAAGCCTGTGATCCGTTTTTTCAACCATCAGTAGATTTGGGCCCTTACACGTAATATTTTTTAAAAACTAGGCCTCTATATGTAATTATTTTTAATTTATACCCGTATTTGTAATTATTTTCACTTTCCGGGCCCTTATTTGTAAATTCCTCTAAATTTTTGCTATGCCAGATATCTTAAAGTGCACACCTTTCTAAATGCACGCTCAAGTTCTGGCCCAAATATATACATGCCCTCTATAAATGCACTTTCTCTTGTTGGTCTCTAAGTGCACGTTGTTAAAGCTTGGTCCCAAGTGCGTGCACTTATAGAGGTTTTGCTGTATTTGGGCCAGCACTTGAGCATGCATTTAGAGAAGATGTGCATTTATAGAGAGTGCGCTTATGGATGTTTTATTGTAGTTATAAAAATTACATATTGATGTACAGTATATAAAGATCTACGTTCCAGATTTTTGGTGCACAGCTACTTTATGTATTATTAGAGTGCGTATCCGACGTTGCCGTCCGCGAAATTACTGAGTGTTATAAAGATGGTATGCAAAATTTTTATGGTGAACCTATTTGTTAAACACGATTCGAAAGATAGTTCTAAAAAAAAAAAAAAACTTTTAATATCTTATTATCAAGGTTGGCAATGGATACTCCATTAAGAAAATTACCAATGGAACCAATGGAGTGAATGGAGTGAGTGGAGCCAATGATACTAATGGAGAACCTAATGGAGCCAGTGGAGAACCCAGTAGAGATAATGGCTCCAATAGAAATATCTAGCAAAGCCCATGAATAAGGTTCTAATCTTTAGCCTCATATACCAATAGCTCGACCTGATGATAAACAGGTCAAACGGATCAATGTCAATGGCTTCCATTGGCTCCATTCGGAAATTATTCTCAATGGAGCAATGGAGCAATGTCAATGGAGTTGTTCTCCATTCGTCCCAATGGATAAATGTGCCAACCCTGCTTATTATATCTAACCATAAATCTAATCCAAATATAATTTAATATCACTGTATACAAGCACATTATTATTATTATTATTATAAAAAAGGGTCGTTCCGTCTTTTTAACTCCTCAATCCTTAAATACTAACGATGACTAACTTGATACATCTGTCGGAATTATTCAAATCAGCAAACATTTTGATAAAGAACAAGTGCTTTCGTTACTTCCATCTTAGGTTTCTAAATAACAACAATGGTAGCTTGATACGTTCCATTAAAATATTCATAATAGCAAACATTTGATAATGAACAAAATGCCTTATTTTCGTTATTTCCGTCTTTTAACTCCCAATTCTTAAATAATAATGATATCAAACTTGTTACGTTTCGTTAGAATTATTCATATCAGCAAACATTTGATCCTTTAACTCCTCAATTCTTAAATAATAACGATGGCCAACTAGATACATTCCATTGGAATTATTCACATTAGCAATGTTTGATCCTCAAGTCTCTAAATATAACAACGACTGATACGTTCCATTAAAAATTATTGTGGCAGCTGATGCTGAAATTGGCTGATGCTGAAATTGGGGACCTCTATTTAAATCTACAATACCTACTA